TTTGGATGTCGTTCCAATCACTTCTGATACTACGAACTCTAATATCCATAGATATGTCCGTATTTTGTTTATATTCACGTCTTAGCACTTCATTTTAAGACCTAATCATTTCCATTTACCCATTACATCATATTATGAAGTTTAATTAAACTCGTGGAGTTTAATTTTCAGAATTACTCCCATTGATGAATTCTATTTACCAATGCCCGTCAATTCTAATATATACGTACGTATGTATATGTGTATGCATGCATGCGTGCATCTGTGTTTATAGATGATTGCGTGAATTTGGATGGATAGAATATGATCAATAGTAACATGTACAGCAAAGTCAAAAACAATAATGGAAAATGAAATAACAGTAAGAAAGGAGTAAATTATGTAAGTAGCAGTATAAAAAGAAAAAAGTGAAATATAAAAAAGAAATTAGAAAAGAAGAAACAATTTCCAGAAGATTTAACATCACAGAAATTTATTATACATTCCCAAAGATATCTTTTTATTTACATTATGGAGAAATTATATCAAAGGATGATAAATATAACATAATTACCCAATATATATCGGAGAGTATCGTTGTATAATTCTTTTTTGATATTAATTTTTTTTTTAATTATTTATGGAAAACATAGTTTGTTCGATTGAATTTTCCAAAATTCTATTAGCATTTGGTTAAAAATTAATTTCAAAAGGATGAAAAAGAAAAAAAACGAGAAACACTTTTTCTATTTTTGAGGCAACATTTTTCAATATATAAATGTATAGAAAGTGAGTATTATGATTATATTTTTGATCTTATAGATAAGTTGATAAAAAAAAATTATGAAGGCTTATAGGAGATGAAAGATGAAAGAAGAAAGAATGCTTGAGGAAGATGATGATAGGAATGATAAGATTAGCAATAGGAACAATAAGAGGTTGTATCAGCATCAAGGATTACACCTTTACTATCACCAACTGGCATCCATGTATGCTTTACTGATTGTTGAATTCGTTGCATTACCAAATCCAATAAGCAATCAACTGATCTTTCCACATTTGTTGATGAAAAGGCGCTTGTTTCAAAATATGGCAATCTAAAATAAAATTTTATTGCTTACTTTCCCTTTTTTTTCGTTATTGTAATAGTAATTATAACTTTAATGTATTTTGATAATTAATCACAGTTCCTTTTCTATTTTTCACCAATTTTTTTTTACATTTATCATTTCAAATATATTATCAAGATTATTGATTGAATATCAAATTAATTGATTATTAAGCAGTTCTTCCAATCATCTATCAAAAATAATATAATTGCAAATAATGGATGAGCAAGTATTTTTTTTTTTTGATACCAAAAAAATGATATTATTAAAAAAAAAAGGAAGATTGATAATATAATTTGGAATGAATAAATTTGAATTGTGTATTATTTATGTCGAAAAAAAAATATCGAATAATTTTACTTGGATAATTAATTAGTTTTTTTTTCTAATTTATTTAGCACATTTTTGCATTTTTAGCACATAGCACATTTTTTAATCTTTGAATGGATTTCAAACTCAAACAGTATCCAATTATTCCTTATTAAAATAAAAATTATAGCAAAGAATTAATATTGTTGTTATTTTTAGAAGCCATAATTTGATAAAAAAAAAGAAGAAAAAGAAGGAAATGTAATATAGCAAAATAGGAAAGATAGCAATGGAAGTTATATGCACAATGGAGCTTAATGAGATATTTATTTTATTCAATATTGGAATTAGAAATAAAACTGAAGCGAAGATGAAGGAATAAGAATTGTCATTCAATTATAAAAACATCTATTCATTACGTAAAAAAAAAAACACTATAGGATGGGAATTTTTAAAATTTGAAGAAAAAAAAACTAGATTCTTTAAACTAATGCTTCAAGAATGTAAATATTACGATAAATTGAACAATTGAATGTTGATTTCATTAATTCACTTCCTCTATTAATATTTCCATGCTTTTAGTGAACTTTATTAGTACAGTGATGTATGTTGATAATTTGGCATCTTCTTGTGATAAATAATTTTATCAGTATTCTCTTTAAAGAAATGATAACAAAGAGTAAGAAGTAGTATTAGTAGTGGTAGTAGTAATAATAGTGATAAGGTTAAATTTTTTTTTTTTGATATTATCGTTTGATTATTAATTTGAATAATTGTTATATGCATGGCTAATTTATCATATAATTACAAGATTAGTAAAATTTAAGTTAAAATTAGTTCAATCAAAAAAAAAAAAGATGTGTATATAAATACCCCAATTGATCAGCTAGTTGTATTGCTCGTGCCGTACTAACTTGTCTTCGATTTTCCAAATCTGATTTATTACCACAAATAATTATGTCAGGTGTTTCACAATATGCATGGATCTGCAAAAAAAAAGAAAAAGAAAAAACGTATTTTGGAAGAATTTCAGACTTGCGACCCAAATAATATATTTAATTTTAACCTGTTTTTTTTTTTTTCTATTTGAAAAAAAAAGAAAATACTGTAGCAGAAAAAACAAAGCAACGAGAAATGTTCTTGCTGTAAATGATACATAATTATCGGATTACTGAGACCATTGAAATTAAATTAAGGAATAGAAATTAAATTAAATATGCACTTTCAACTGCGATAACCAATCCCTAATATTTAGGAATGACTGTTCGTTTGTAATATCAAATATAAGTATGAAACCCATTGCATCACGAAAAAATGCTGTCGTAAGACTACGAAACCTAAAAAAAAAAAAAAGAAAAAGAAAGAAAATTCATCATTGTTATTTTCCATTTAAATAAACTTCAATTTTAATGTTCTATTTTTAGTCTAATGCAAAAAGAAAATTCTCCACTAATAAACCATCATTCTAGTTAAAATTTATTTTTTCCATAAAATAATTTAAAATTACAGCAAGTAAAACGATTTCTGCAGAAAAAAAAAGTCCCTTTTTTTTTCTGCTTAATTATTATGAGTGATATATGAAGGTGAATTGAAAGTAAAAAATAACAAACCTTTCTTGTCCAGCTGTATCCCATAATTGTAGTAAAACACGCTGTCCTCTTCCACCATAACCTCCACGACCATTTTTATAAATCTGAATTAAATCAATAAAATTATCAAATAACTTTTTTTCCTCTCATTCATAAATCGATAATTTATACAAATTATAAACTTACAACTTTTTTTTCTTTGAAATCAATCCCAACAGTTGATATGAATTGACCGGTAAATGTATTATCCGTGTATCGATGCTAGAATGAATGAGAATAGACGATGAAAAACTTTGCTGCTTTTTTTCAGACAATTAAAAATTTGAAAATAGTGAAAAGGATATTTTGATAAATAATAATATCACAATATCATCATCATATCAAGTATCAGAATGGGAAAAATAATGATTAGTAATATTTGAGATCAGTTGGCAAAAAAAAACGATTTTTTTTTCTTCGCAATGTTTAGTCATAATTAATAATAATAACAATAGTAATAACAATTTAATAATAATAATAATAATAATAATAATAACAAATAATAATAATAATAATAATAATAATAATAATAATAATAATAATAATAATAATAATAATAATAATAATAATAATAATAATAATAATAATAATAATAACAACAATAATAATAAT